CAGTTGAACGTTTATCAGTTGTTTCAAAACTCTGAGCATATTTGCCATGCTCACACACCGCCGGATAACGATCTGAGTGTAGAATGTTAGGGGGGGTTAGAATGTTAAAAGGCGTAGATAACATTTTAATGCACTGGAGATGGTTATTCAAATGAAAGGGTTCAGCTAATTTTTTAAACAGAAAAAAAAATACACTCATCTAAAACGAATGACAAAATCTACTTTCCTATCTACATGTCAATACAAAAACAAATGTCAAGAGAAGAAAACGATTTTACTTGCTGTTTTATACCGTCATAAACCACTAAGGAAGTGATAATAGCTGAAGGTAAGCAACATTCCCACAATTATGATGATGATTGCTGCTGCATATTCAGATTATCATCGGAAGGCAGTAGAATCATCATCATCATCATCATCATCATCATCATCATCATCATCATCATCATCATCATCATCATCATCATCATCATCATCATCATCATCATCATCGGCAGCAGCAGAATCATTCTCGATCATCAGCAGAATCCTCATCATCATCAGCAGCAGAATCACATCATCATCCTCATCATCAGCAGGCGCAACTCATCACATCCATTCTCATCATCAGCACAGCAGAATCATCATCATCCACACATTGTGGTGTGATGATCTGCCGGATAAGCTTGTATTCAAGAGAAACCAGGGATCAACTTATCAAGGCTATATTGAAGGTACAACAGATGAGCACACTGCGGGGCGACCGACAGTAAGCTCGGCTGGTGACGCTCTGCCTGAAGCATGTTACTAGAACATGCCACTAGGCAAATATGTTTTGTTACATGATTGCAGGTAATAGTTACATGGTTGATATGATACAGAGGGTGACAATCAATGGTGTACATGTTATAGTATGGTATATACACAGACCACCAATATATTCACATATCTACACCTCCCTTCTCCCCTCACGCTCGTAGCTCTGTCTCAGTCCCGCTTAGATCGACGGTGGGGTCCCTGGGGTCAATTTACATAGGAAATTATTTTTCTCGTCCAAGCAAGGGTCACAGGGATGGGGGGGATGGGATCAACACTAGGGGGTAGTCACTGGTCGTAGGATCACGATAACGCCATCAAACTCGACCACTAAGTAGTCGCACCTCTCAAAATCCCTGATCTGCCGCATCCCATACTTGGGCCAACCTTTTCCCAACAAAGTGAATCGAGTCCCTGGATCTGTACTGTCTGTCCTATACGTAACTTTGGCAGTTGCGGGCGTGCTTGTCGTACGCATTTAAAATCTGCTGGGTACGGTCGCTGATCCGATCGTAGTTTTCAGACATCTCATTTTCATTCCAGGAGAAGGACTCTGGATGTGGGCAGGAACAACAGGAGTGGGAGTGCGCCATAGAGTATCTGGCGGGAGACCTTTCCTGTGACATTGCTCGAGGAGCCTCTATCGAAGTCTTCATTGTCCAGTTGCCAGAAGGACACCGTTCTTCATGATGAGTACATTGCTACTTGACGGCCCGCCTCGGCGTGTCTGTTCGACTATGTGTATGTGGTAAGGAAACCACGTGGTGTAACGCCCCATTGTTTCATGAACTCGGAGAGCTGGTGAACTGTGTCCCCTTCATCATCCCTCAAGCCTGAGGGGAACACCAGCGTCCCTGAAGTAATAGCAGAACATGCGTGTGGGTGTGTGATGCTGTAGATGAGGCACCACAGGGATGATGATGGGCCAGCCAGAGAGCTAACCTCAATTACTCCCCAGCGACTGTGAAGGAAGTCGGCAGACACAGCCTAAAAAGGCCTTGTAAGGGTATCGTCATTTTGCATGGTCTCTTGCTGTTGGCTGGGTTGCATGACCGGACATGGCTGACCGGCTTGAACAGTGCAGTGATGTCAGCGTCGATCCCAGGCCAAACATACTGTCTGACATGCCCTGCGTTTCGTTGCAGTGCACGTCGTAGGCGAGCGCGTGTGCGGCAACGGTGGGCTTCGTTATCACAATTCTTTGGCCATACAAGACCAGTTCCCCATTGGCAGAAAGGCTGTCTCGAAGCTTCAGTAAGGTAACGAATTGTGTAGGTCCGTAATGGTTTAGAGGTAAAACCCAGGTTACACCATTCTTGAGCCTGCAGTAATTAGGGTCTGCACTTGCTGCCTCGTAACGGTTGCAGGGTTCTTCGGCAAATCTGATTCTTGAAGTCTTTGCTGGTACTATAGCTTACAGGTCCCTATCCTCCTCCGTGTGTTTCGTGTCCGCTGCATAGCTTCTCATCTTCTGGTGTGGCTGTCTGACTGGAGCTCTGGACTAGGCATCGTGATGCAGAGCTGCTTTCCATCACGCCACACAGGTGTAAATTGATAGGGTGTGATAGCACCCTTAAGGCTTGGATGCCGGGATTCTCTACTGCATCAACGTGTACTGTGAGGATTGGTATCAGCGGCCTATGGTGCTTCATCACGTGTGGAAGTTTCGGGACTCAAATCAGTATGGTTTACACTTTGATGTGGCCCGATGGCGTCAAGCAACTCTAATTCAATGGTGGCATAACGTGTCTCAGCGTCGGTAAGAAGCTGTAGGCCACACTGACCAAGGCATAGCCGGCCTTACCATTGGTCCTTGCAGTATGCTAGCCTATTCCATAGAAGCGAGAGGCAATCCGTTTGCAGAATGATTGGGAGTGCTAGGTCGAAGTGTGCCACACTGTGGTTTTAGCAAAGCTTCTTTGACGCATTGTAATTCTCTTCCATGATCAGCGTCCAAGAAATGTCTTTGGGCTCAGCTATGGGCCGAATGGTTTGGGTAACAGCAGCAATATCTGGGTGAAGTCTGACAATTGGTCACCATGCCATGAAGGAGGCAATCAGTCCGGTTTGCTGGCGTCGAACGTCGGGATGGCGCTGACTCTGTCCTGGTCTTGCTATTTTCCCTTGCTGAGATGTTTAGCACAGAAGCTCACACTAGGGCGGCGCTCACACACTTGTCCTGGTTGAGTGTGCTCCCATGCTTGCGGCAACTAGCTACATCCTGGTCAACTGTCGGATGTGCTTCTTGAAGTGCATCATCGTAGAGAAGGATGTCATCTACCACCTACACACTCTGCATACCCTGGAGCGCATGTCTCTTCGACGACATAAGCATCTTCCAGTAGCCGAGAAACCCCTAGGGCCCTGCATTCTTGAATTGGCGGCGTTAGACAGTGGTAAGGTGCTGGTCCTCCTCATCGAGTTTCACGTTGCCAATATCCCACAAAGCATCCGCAGTTCATGAAATACCGTGACGATGAGTGACGACAAATGGCGCGAAGGGTGTTGGGGGATGTTTCGGGCGGATACTTGGCTGTTGAGGTGGGATAAATCAACAGTAATCCTCACACTTTATCCTTGCTGACGGTGACTAGTGGGTGCACCAGTCAGAGGGTTCATCTACAGTGGCGATTAGCCTTGATTTACCATTGACTCGAGTTCTTCTTCGCCTGTTGCTGAATGCAATGGGAATCCTGTCCTCAGAGTGTGGACGGCAAATGGTGGCTGCTCCTCCTTTCCTTTAAGTGTATCCTCATTGGTCCTTTTGTGAGGTCCTTCTTGGGATAGCAATCCGTCCTTGTATTCCTGTATG